TCTCATTTGGCTTTTTGGACTCTTTTTACCAGCCACTCAGTCATTAAGTGTGCTCACCTTTTGTTTGTTTAAATAAATCTCCTTTTGAACCTCCTCTGCCTTGCGTCCTGCATTTGGGTCCTCCAACCTGCTCAACCCACACCCACTGTAACATGGACCTGTGATTGTAAAGTGACAGTCCGACTCAGCAGGCCTATTAATGATTTTTTTGTAATGTAAAATGTGTCCAGGTTTAAACTGACTGAAGTTTTAGACGTCTACTGTTCACTGATCAGTTTTATACAGATCAGTTTAAACTGCAGCACTGTAGCTCACAGTATGTTTTTTGCCTTAATGTTCACAGAGTCACTGTGTCATAAAGGACTGTGTAGTTTATAGATTTGATTCTGTGCTGATGTCCAAAGATAACTCTCTGTCCATACATCGATGACAGACTGATCATAAAAGCGTCATGTTCAAGATCATCTTGGGGTAAAAAAGCTAATAGCCTATCTGACCGTGATTTCAATGTTTCTAAAGACGTAACTGTTCCAATATGAGATTTGAGTTTATCTAATCGCTCTCTCAGGCTCAACTTACTCAGCGTTTTCACTAAACCCGCTTTCTGAAACGGGCCTCTGAACACCCTGCTGTGAATGCAAGCACAACACATTTTCCTGTCTTTTCAACGCCGTTGTGTTTAAAAACCTATCGCAGCTGATTGGGTAACACCTGAGACACACCCACCAAACAGGAGCAAACATACCTTGAAGCCCGAAACTGAACTCGAGGATGTGACATCACCTCATACAGAGGTTAACAATGCCTTTCAGTAATGTCTGCTCTCTCCTGATGTGACTGCTGCTACATTCATCTTTTTAGGAAAATATTTACAGCGCTGCAACCTGAGAGGCAGAACGCAGAGCAAAGGAGCTCAGTGAGCACAGACTGCTGCTGATTGATCTGTGATACATACAGAATCAGATTTGTGCCAATTTATTCAAACAAAACCTCTTAAAAATAAAATGGAGAAAGAAGTTGAAAGAGAAGTCCCTCTGTGTCCAGCTCCAGTTTTAGTCTGTTACCAAGTTATATGTTTTACTCTTGACATTATTATTATTATGCTTCAGTCAGATTAGTTCTCTGTCAGATTCTTATTTTTGTCAGATTCTTGTTTTTTTGTTTTGTAAATCAGCACAAATTTCCTTCCATATAACACAGCAATCCAGTTCAGAACTGTAATAAGGAGTCAGATGAGGGATTAAAGGGGGCCTCATCCACAGAACCAACCTTGTTCCGCTTCTTCCCTGCTGATGACCTGCAGCTGTACTTGTGTGTTCGTCAGCCTTTCCCCCCCACCACGGGCAATGCAGATGTAGATGCCATCGTCTGACAGCTGAATGTGTTTCAGAGTGAGGCTGACGTGTCCAGTTCTCAGAGCGTCAGGCTGCATCTCTGTACGGTTTGTGAACAGCTGGTTTTTGTTTGTAAGATCATCTTCTTCAGCCTGACCTGTCTTGATACGCACATGAACATTGGAGGGAATCAGATCATAGCGGCTCCAAACCACTGAGGAAGCAGCTCCAGGAGGGGCCCCACAGGGCAGCACCACAGACTCCGCCCCCTCAATCACCTCCACTCCCAAGGCATGCTGGGTAACTGTAAGGACAGAGACAGTGGGTACATTAGTTTTCTCTCTCCGCTCGTACAAATTAATCTGCTGCACCATCATTAACGACCCAACACTGTTTGACTGCACAAACAGGAAAGCAGCCAGAAACCTCCTCACTGGAAACCAGTTAGTGACTGAAGCTGACTGGACTGATCTGAAACCAGCAGTTTTATAGAGGGAGAAAATAACTCAGGTGTAATGTGCTGCTGTTAAGAGAACCAGACTCTGTTCTGCTTCCTTCTGCGCTCAAAGTGAGATCAACAGTTTATCATCTGTGGTCGTAGTTTCATTCAGTCATGCTGGAAATGATTCACTTTGTGTCAGAAGGAACTTCCTTTATAACACTGATGACAGACGACCCCAGCTGGACTGAGTGGTACATGTTTTGTCACCTGGTTTATACTCACCACATGCCAAACATGACATCATCACACCTCCTGTGTTGATCCCAAACACCGATTCATCGTTCAGTACTCGTTAGATTTAGTGTCACCGACTAATGTATGTGTGTGTGTAGAATAACCCCAGACAACCGAGCCCCCTCCTCTCCCACTCAGGGATCAGAGAACGCAGCCTTTTGGGCAAGAAAAACATGTCAGGATAGAGACGCTGACCTGGGCTTCCTGTTGGAGAGGACACCGGATAAATGAAAAGGGGTAGGGAGTCATCCCACCCTCACACCTGAACTGAACCAATAATGTGTATTAATGTGAGTGTATCAATAAAACCCTAATGATACCCATCCCATCTGGTGAGAAAACGTCCGGCCCATCTCCATGTCCTGGTGTTAAAATCTGGCCTGATTGAATTTGTAATTGAATAGCTCGCTTGTAGACATATTGTAGAGTAGGGCTGGGCGATATGGACCAAAAGTCATATCCCAATATATTTAGGCTGAATATCGATATACGATATATATCCCGATATTTTTTCCGCAAATGTTCAGTCAAAGCCAAATATGACATGTCACAAGTAATTTTATTGAAACCGGCAATTTCAGTTAACAGTTGCAAAATCAAATGATTAAATTATAAACAGGTTTCTTCACCTGGTTCATAAATAAAAGCTCAGCTGTTTAAATAAAAATGTAAACATAAATACTGTATAACAACAGGAGTATCTATTGAAATCAAAGCTCCATAAGGTGCACATTTAAATAAAAACTATCTTAAATAAAAATAGCCTATAAAATGAAATAGGCCAAATTTTTCTAAAATAAACATATTTATATGAGAAAAGTACAATATCAACATGTTTTTAGTTAGACAACTATAAATGGCTTATTAAAATCAAATTACAGATTTTCGTCTCCTTTCTAACAAATCCACAGATGTGAATAACGAACATTACAAAAGAATAAAAATATGACAAACCCTAGTAAGGGCAGCATTTATATATAAAGAAAGAACAAATTAAAGTGCTCAGTTTAAGAACATTTCTTTTAAATATCAACTTGATATTACCTTTTCCTTTTTATTAACTCAATTTCTTATCTGAACAATCTCAACCATTTGCACAAGAAACAGACTATCAACTCAATAAACATTTTCACCCTCTTTTTTTACTTTGATAAACAGTAATGCTGTCTTGAGGTAGACATTAGAAGACAGATAAGCGTGTCCTCCTCCTTTAAAGATTTTGTGCGAGAAACAACAGCCTGTCAACGGCATCCGGCTTCAGAGATGCTCTGTGGCAGGTCGATATTACCACTGCCGCTGAAAACACGTTCAGAGGGTGAACTGGTAGCTGGTACCAAGAGATACTTTTTTGCTAGGTGGCTCAGAGCTGGAAAGACATCTTCATGATCCTTCCACCACTTGAGGGGATCAGTGTCACTCTCCACACTTGCTGACTGCAAGTAACTTGACAGTTCATTTTCAATAGCCCCCCTCTTGGTTGGTGCAGTGGTGGTGGCTGTGCGCTGCTTGAAGAAGCTTGCCAGTGTCTTAGCTTTTGGTGCTACTGCTGCTTCTCCATCTGCAGGCTCAGGCACAGTGGGCACACGTAGGTAAGGCGGTTGATCAGCCAGTAGTGTCTCCACCTCCAGGACAGCTCTGTGCTTCAATGCATCGACTTTTTCAGTTGGGATGTAGGTGGCCCTGAATCGTGGATCCACAAATGAAGCCATCTCCAATAGGTCAGTAGTGGCAGGGTCAGAATACTTGCTGTTGAGGTATTCAGCAATGCTGGTCTTGATCGCTTTAACTTTCGTTAAAAAGGTGCAGCACAGGTTTCACATATGATAGAGTGACGTACTCCTCACCTGACAAAGCATCGGTAAAGTCCTGGAGAGGTTTCAGGACCTTTTGGACTGCTTCTAGGACCTCTAAGTCCTGCCAGGTAGGAACAAGGTGCCTGGTCTTTTTGTCATTAGACAGGACTTTGGCCAGTGTTCCTTCCTGCTCCAGGACTCTCTCTATCATCTGCTGCCTCGATCCCCAGCGTGTGGCAGACTCTGTTATGAGTTGGTGACTTGGCAGACCCAGCTGAATCTGGACTTCAGCAAGATGTCTCCTTTTCTTCCAGCTGTATGAAAAACAGCTTACAATTCTCTTGCACAGAGAAATGGCCCGGGTGACGCGCTTGTCATTCATGCCATGTCCTGTCAAAATCATAAAAGAAATATTAAACATATGTGCTGATGCGAGAAATTTGACTCTGGTTTCACTTTAAGCTTTAGAAATATTCTACATTAATATTATTGTCACGTTTCATAGTTAATTTTTTTAATTAACACCTGTCCTAATCATAAATATCAAATATTATATTCATTTATTTCCTGAATTTTAATCCCGTAAGTGATTTGTATGTATTATTATTTTTGTATAATTTATAAATGATGACTATACTGTATGTACATTTACTCATGTTTCGTTCTTGTTGTTGTTCTTAGTATTTATGCTATTTTTTAATGCTACTTCTTATTTCTACTCCACTAAAAACTCCACAATGTTTAGGCCTACGTATCAACATTAGTTTCTAGTTGCAGTCTGCTCTTTCAATACAGAGAAAAAAAATATAGTATAACAAATATGTTACATTGATGATATCAACAGGCTAACCAGCATTTTCAAGTCATAATTACTTCACCTTTACCTTTTAAAATAAGGAAAAACTAACATTTTAATATGTTTTTGTTTAAAGTAAAATATCTGACTACTCCATACAACACTGCACTCACCAATAGCCAAGTGTAGTCTGTGACCGAAGCACTGCATCCTCAGCCACTCGTTCAGCTCAACCGCTTTGACGATGTTGCTCCCGTTGTCGGTTGTTATAGCAACCAGATGCTTTTCGTGGAGTTTCCAGCTTGCAATTGCGTCCTGCAGGGCCTCAGCTATATGCTCACCGGTGTGATCCTGGGGGAAATAACTTGTTTGGAGACAAGCTGATTTCATCTCCCAGTCTTGAATGAAGTGAACTGTCATGTAAGGCTCACACGTCCTGCTCGACCACATATCGCTGGTCAACGCAAAATGAGTCACGTTAGCGAGCCGGTCAGCAAGGCTCTGCCTGACGTCAGTGTACATTTGTGGCAGTGCTTCTCGTGCAAAGTAGTTGCGACTGGGAAGCTCATATCTCAGGTCCATCGTTTTCAGTAGCTTTTTGAATCCGACTTGTTCCACAGTTGCAACAGGGGCCATGTCTTTAGCAATGTGATAGGACACCGCTTTAGTTATAGTACACCACTTGTCACTTTTGGGTAGATGAAGTTTGCAGTGAGCTTTGTTTCGGGGCTGGAGCTTTTTCGGGTTGTCGATGGCTTGCAGCTGGGGCTTCTGCAGCGCGCAGTTTCACAGACTCTTCGTATTGCAGTTTGTGCCACTGATTTAGGTGGTGAAAAAGATTTGAAGTGCTTCCACCCCTGGCTGTAATTTCTTTATGGCACTGTTTATATAACGTGATTTTGTTGCTCATCTGATACTTTGAATCAGAACCATCTCCAAATTACTGAGCCACTGCTTTTTCTTTCACTAACCAATTCCTCCTCCGCACGCTCCGCAGACGTTGTTGTTTCCTCCATGTTTGTTAAACAGTGTATGTTCCTGCTCCTCCCCCCTCATGTGCATGAAAGAGGAGGGCCGGGGGCGCGGGGAGCAGTGTAGAGAGCGCCAGGTCAGTTGCTTGCTTGGAGCAAGGATCACAGCGCAAATATGAACTATATCGATATATGTGATATGGTCCAATTCCATATCACATAAAAAATATATCGATATATTTTTTATATCGATATATTTTTTATATCGATATATCGCCCAGCCCTATTGTAGAGACCCTGTACTGCTTAGCTACTTTAAAGAGGTGGTATTCTGCTCATTTTTAGGTTCATCATCCTATTTAGAGTTTGTACCAGAACAGGTTTCCATGGTTATATGTTTGTCATACTGCACATTGCTGCAGCTCCTCTTTCCACCCTGTGTTGAAGGCTTCGTTTTAGCTATGGAGTGATACATCTGGTCTCTAAATGATCTTTGTTGGGAGTTGCACATGCTCAGTTCCTAGTTAAGGACTACTAGCCAATCAGAAGCAGAGTAGGGCGGGTCAGCGAGAAGCCGGTAAACGGCTCGGGTTCAGCCGTACGTCTTGCCGACCGGCTCGGCAACACGGACTGGAGCGAGAGTTTCAGAGCGGTGAGTTATTAATCTGTATCCATAAAGTTTTAACTGAGCTCTGTCTCTACATCACAGGAACAACTTTATGTCCACTGACTGCCTGGAGGGTAGCTAGTGTTTGGAAGGGAGAGGAGAGCTGTGTGCTGCAGCTCGCTGTTTCTGAGGGCGTGTCGGCGAGCGTTAAATGAGGCGGCTGGACTACAAACCAGCTGTTTTCAGTTCAGAGTTCAGAGAGTTTTCTGTGGGAGATGGGAACTCCCTTTGGGCTTTTTCACTTTGCAAAACTGTTACATGCACAAAAAAGAGATCTATCTCAATAAAGGAGAGGGAAAAGCCAAAAAGCAGAATATGACCTTTTTAAGGCCATGTAAAAG